CAGCACACACAAGAAGAGATCAATCAGGTGCTGCTGACCTCCTCCTCTGGAGGAGTCATGGCAGATGATGTTCATTCAGACCTTGCTCTGGGATCTGGAAGGCGATAAGCGTCTTCTGGAAGAGCCCCACATACTACCTCCTCATCTATGTTCACATCAGGCCACACCTTCTGCCTTTGCTGCAGCCCAAGGCTGAGCTTTAGCTGCTCTGAAGAGGATCCCAAGGGGTCTTAGGTCAGGCAGCCAAGGCAAAAGCCTCTATCTTCAAGGTTAAGTTTCTCTGTGCTTGAGAATCACTAGAGTAGCTGGTTAACCCAGCCCCAGCTCTCTGAGTTGCTGCTTTTGAGTACAAACCAGCCTCAGCTCAGGACAGTGACAGCGATGTTCTGGCCTGAATCAGTTAACTTAGAGAGCTGACTGTTAGGCTTTTTTTTTTTTTTTTTTGGTCTGTCATGAGGCTTGAACTCAGGGCCTGGGTGCTGTTCCTGAGCTTTTTCACTCGAGGCTAGTGCTATATCACTTTGAACCACAGCTCCACTTCCAGTTTTCTGATGATTGATTGGAGGTAAGAGTCTCATGGACTTTCCTACCCCAACTGGCTTTGAGCCACGATCCTCAGATTTCAGCCTGCTGAGTAGCTGATTACAGGAATGAGCCACAGTGCCCGGCTCTGAGCGCTAATTTTTATACATCCTCAGAGGTTGTTGTTACCCAAAGCTATCATTAAGTGCTGAATTTTGTCAAGTTTTAATCAAGTTAAATGAAAAATAAAGATTACTGTTGTTGTTGTTGTTATTGCTAATATGAGGATTTTAAATTCACACTGGCTTTCCTGGTGCTCTCCCACTTGAACCACACCTCCTCTTGCAGCTTTTTGATGAATAATTGTTAATAAGAGTTCCCCAGGTTTGTCTGTTCAGGCTGATTTTACTTTAAATCTCGGTCTCCTCAGAAGTAAGGATTATAGACATGAGGTATCGAGTAATAGGGCCCATTAGAAATGAGACATAGTTTTAAAATAAAATAAACTATAGGTCTCTTCTCCTTTCCCCTCCCTTCTCTTTCCCCTCTCCTCCTCTCCCTTCTTTTCTCTTTCCCCTCCTTCCTTCCTTCCTCTTTTCTGGGGGGGCGGGGGTGGAATGGCTGTTGCGCACTCCTGAGCTCAAATGACTTGCCTGCCTCCACCCGCAGAGCTACAGACTTTCTTTTAGTCAAATGGAAGCGTGTTTGGCAGGAAGACCCCTTTGTCTTTACTCAAATGTCAGTTTTGAAGCCTAAGACCTCTGGGGAGTAAGGGTGATCCCAGGACTCTGGTCCTGGGCGGCAGGAGGGCCCCATCCATGCGTACCTTCCTCCAAGATCCTTCCAAGTCAAAGACTTAACCAGTGCCCTGGTACAAGTGCTGGAGGGAAAGCCACCGTGCTGGACTCCTAGTGACAAGAGGTGTGCCGCTGCTGGGCTTTTCAAAGGGCAATTCTGACAGCAAGGATTCTGTGCCTTCCACTGACCTTAGAATGGAAGCTCTTCAGTGCCAGCTTGTGACATGCCTCGTGGCTCTGCAGTCTCCCTCCCCGCTTCCCGGGCCCTGGCCCCTGCGGCACAGCCCAGGGCACCCTGCCACATTCAGCAGCGATCGGGTCATCATTTGGCCGCTGGTGGCCTGCATAGAGCTTGGTTGATACAAAAGTCATCACTGGAAAAACGCTCAAGGGCTCATGTCACAGCCTTACTTAAAAGCCTTCAAAGTCACATTCTAAACCCAAACAACTCGGTATTAGATATGGTTTTCTCCAGGTTCTCTTGCTGTCTTTCCATGTTGCACACGCTGAAACAGTTTCCAACTGCTACAGTTTGCATCTTGCATCTAGAATATTTCCCCCAAAGGCCTGGGGGGTTAAAGGCTTGGTCTGGAGCCGGTGGTAATACTGGGAGGTGGAACCTTTTAGAGGCATGACCCTCACAGTCTGCACAAACCTGATCTCTTCCCGTTTCTTTTGGGCTTCCAGACCTGGGGGGGGGGGGGGTTGCCATGCTGTCTCGCCTGATGTGCGGCCCAGTCACAAGCCTCAAAGCAAAGGCCCATAGACCAGAACTGTGAGCCAAAATAAGCCTCATTTTTTTTTTCCTTTTTTTTAAGTATTGGGCTTTTGACTCGGGGCTTCATAGTTACTCTACCATGTTGGTCACACCTCCAGCCTTTTTTGTTCTGGTGATTTTTGAGACAGAGCTTCACTTTTTGCCTATACCAGCTAAGACTGTGATTCTACCTGTTTACTCTTCTTGCCATAGCTAGGGCGATACATGCCCCCATATCTAGCCGTTCCCATTGAGCTGGGGACTCTTTTCTGCCTGGCCTGGCCTAGAGCCATAATTCTCTGATGTGGTCTCCCCTGTAGCTAGGATGATGGGTCTGTACCACTGAGCCTAGCTGCCGACTGAAAGAATGTCTTGTGAATTTCTTCCTGGCTTCCCTTAGCTGCAGTTCTCTCAATTTCAGCCTCCAGAATGCTTTAGATTACAGGTAGAAGCCCCAAAGCTAGCAGCCTTCCCTCTTTTTAAGTTATTTCAAGTACTTTGTTACAGTAAGAGGACGAACAGAGCCACTCACCAGTTCTAAAGTCTGGCCTCTTCTTTCAAGACACCTTGACTGCTTTCCTTGTGTCACCTCTATCAGGATATTGTGAGAAGCTGTAGTACCCTTGGCTCTAGCATGTCACTGACAGCAATCAGACTGGAGGGATGAAGCAGAGGGAAGTTCCTTTTTCTGCATTAGCCAGGGACTCGGAGGAAGGGCAGAATAGTTGGCTGAGAACTGACACAGGCTGATAGAAGCAGGAGTTGTAGCAAACCTGTCAATGGCTGCAAAACTAAACAGTCTGGTTGTGATCATACAAGCTTAGTGTTGAGCATAACAGCATAAAAACACAGATAAAGGCCATCATGTCTCTTCAATGCTTATCTGTCTCTTAGAATGTAGATGCAATCAATGGCTTCAGGAATTTGATTTACTCTTTGGGGTAGCTTTACTTTCCAACAATGGCTGCAAAACTAATACGCTCAATTCCACAAGTTCTTCCAGAACTTTGCTAGTCTCCCACCAAGAGATGGGGGCTCGTTGGGTGTATGGTGTAATCCCAGCCACTTCAGAGGTGGGAAAGAGGAGGCCAGCCTAGGGAGTGGAGAACCCAACTTCAACAAACAAGCTGTGTATGGTGATACAGAATGGTGGTGCCAGGTACATGAGAGGCAAAGGTAGGATTACAGTCCAAAGCCAGCACTGGACAAAAAAGCTCAAGACCTTCTCTGAAAAATAACTAAAGCACAAAAGGGATGGAGTAATGGCTTTAATGGTAGAGCAGATGCCTAGAAATCTTAATCTCAAACTTTGGCAACACACAGACACACACACACACACACACACAGACACACACACACAACACACACACACACACACACACACACACACACACAGAGGAACAAAAAGAAGGGAAAGAATCAGTTGGGAGGCTGCTACCCAGGTCTAATGCCCACCCCAGCAGGACTTTTCCCCATGACAATCCAGGCAGATTATCATTACCTTGGCTTAAACATTTCTAGGACGGGAAGCTCACTACCTCACAAAAGTAGCTTATCCCATTATGTTTCCAAAAAAAAAAAAAGTCCACTGTGATATTGATGACGTTCTAGCCATTAATTTTAATGACTGCTCTCTAGATCTTCCACCATCCTAACTTGAAAGAAAGCTTGAGCCTCACATTGCCCCATCTATTGGTGAGAAGACCTAAACTCCTTGTGGATCACATAGCTTTATGTACAATGATGGTCTTCATTCACTACACAGGGAATGCCAATATATTCTAAAGGATTCTAAAAATGGGTAAAAATTTAGAATTGATGGCTGAGAGTGTAGGTCAATAGTTGAGTGCTTGCTTAGCATGCAGGAGGTCCTAGCTTTGACCCTCAGCACTGCAAAAGAATTGAATCTGGTAGCAACCTTGTTCCTGACGGTGACCCATCAGACCCTGTCCCCTTGGTGGGGAGTCCTGTGAACATGGATTGGGCCCTGCCAGAGGTAGAGCAACCTTGAGAATTTGGAGCATTCTGGCCTTTTGTCCTGGCCCATTGAGGTCAGGCTCATCAGCTGGATATGGTTGTTACTTGCATACCAGGCTGGAATCTGTAGTATTGATGTCCCTGCAGCTGAAATGACAGTGAACACAAACCACTGCCCTGAACACAAACCACTTCCCCAACGCATCACTCTTTAGTTCAGTCCTTGATGAGATTCAGAAAAAAAACAGTAGAGTGAAATACGGCAATTCCTAGGAAGGATGCTCCCTTCCTCAGTGCGGCTGGGCGTCCACGTCCATCCTTTCCATTTTAATTAACGCAGTGAACCAGCCTCTACCTTTCAAAGGAATCCGAGGGAAACCTTGCTGCCAAATCCCAACCGCTCCTGTGACACTCAAGAACCTGGACCAGGCTCTTGTGTAGGTTGAGGAAGTCTGTGAAGAATACAGATTATAGGAAAACAGTCTACCTTTCTTTACAGAGTCTCTTTTTGCATCCCTGAAATCTCAGATTCAGCTATTACAATGAAGTCCTGTTGTAGAAAGAGCTGGCCTCTTTATCACCACTTAAAATCTAATTAATCCATATTGAAGCACAAAGATTTCTGTTGTCCTTTAGGGTGAGGGGTCATAGAGCTTTCTTTGTTCATCCTTCGACTTAAAGTCATCAAGCATTGGGGATATTTTACCAAGCAAATTGGAAGGCAACATCAAATCCTTATCAGAAAGCCCCAACTCATAGTTTTAAGAGTCCTTCGTCCTTTACATGAAACATTATATTCAAGAGGAACAAGAACACATTTCAGAGTACCCAAAGAGTTAATGCCCAAAGTTATTATATTCCAGGCAGCATAGAATCAAGTTGGGCACACCACTGTTCACTACGGACAGCAGACCCTATAGAGTGGCAAAGTTGGATGATTTGCTGCCATGGCTTTAGTCTTTAGAACAGCAATGCAATCGGTTGGGCTCTCACTATCTCTGCTGGGATGGGTTTTATCTATTATTACAACTTATCTGCCACATTGGAAGAACTTGAACCTGGACCTGAACGAGATGGAAAACTGGACCATGGGGCTCTGGAAAACCTGCGTCATCCAGGAGGAAGTGGGCAAGCAGTGCAAGGACTTTGACTCCTTCCTGGCTTTGCCAGCTGAACTCAGGGTCTCCCGGGTTTTAATGTTTCTGTCCAATGGGCTGGGGCTTCTGGGCCTGCTGCTCTCAGGGTTTGGCCTGGACTGCCTGAGGATTGCGGAGAGACAGCAGGACTTCAAGAAGCGACTGCTCATCCTGGGAGGAATCCTGTTGTGGACCTCAGGAGTCACGGCTCTGGTTCCGGTTTCCTGGGTGGCTCACATGACGGTCCTGGAGTTCTGGGATGAAAGCATCCCTGAGATTGTCCCCAGGTGGGAGTTTGGGGAAGCCCTGTTCATTGGCTGGTTTGCTGGATTTGCTCTTGTGCTAGGAGGGAGTGTGCTTCAGTGTGCAGCGTGCTCAGCCCCAGCTCCTCTACCTTCGGCCCACTATGCAGTGCCAGAAATGCAAGATCACTGTCCACAGCTGGAAAATGGAACTGCAGATGGTAAAGTGTAAGACCACGAAAAGACAGGATCATTTCCACATGACTATGGATGGCGGTGGTCTTGTTGCTACAACTAAATCCTTGCTGCTACATTCCTTTTCATTAATTATGCTTCTGTATTAGACTTTTCTTCCCCAATCAAGAGAATGAAAGGAAATCTCTTTTAGAGAACTTATTATGGGAGCATCACATGGATATGAATGGAAATGTCATTTATCTGGTTATTTCAATCAATATGTGGTGGGTGGTACCCCAATAGAGTCAATCTTGAGTTTCAATCTATTAATTTTATACTGGAAAGTTGTGTTGTAATAGCTGGAAATGGTGATTAGTTTGCTCCCCATCAAGATATCCAGTCTTTCCTGGGTTTTACATGAATAAAAACTGCATGCTAAGCCAATTCCAACAAGTCATTTCTACAATGAGTTTAGGTCTTCTTTGATCAGAAGTGGGCACCCTGTTTAATTTTATCAGGATCTTGGGAGGCTCAGGGTTTGTCTATTGTGATCATCTTTGATGTTAAACCATAGGCAATCTCCTTACTCACCTCTTTCTTCAAAAGCTTACCATTAAAATAAACAATGCCAAAGATATTTTTTCCTAGGCATCTACGTAGTGTCAGTTCATTTACTAGAATCTCCACTTTCTTTTAATTAAAAACAAACAATAAGCAGAATGGATAAGCTGATGCTGATTTTACACACAAAGTCCTATTGCTTAACTTCTCACAGCACAGAAAGCATATTTTAGTAAAGGAAGGGGGGGCAAAGTGTTTGTGTACAGTGAGTGAACTTAACACAAAGGCATGCAGATAAACAGACTTGATATTTAGTTCGGCATTGTTTTATATGCTTTGTGGTATATGTAGCCAGAAACAGCTCTGCTTTAAGGTCTAGAGAGATTTCTGATAAGATTGATTTATTTAGTTAAGAAATACTTCTCTTGAACCTATTTTTTTTAAAAAATGATTAACACCCAGTATTATCATAACATACTCGTTGAAACGTGAGAATTATAACAAGATGAAAATCTGACAGGTGTAATTAGTAAGATATAAAGTAGAAGGAGTTGAACCAAAACCTTCAATTAAAGTTTTGCATGTAGACTTAATTGACTTGTTAGAATCGTTGGGGAACAACATGAAAGCCATTTATACCTTAACAATGAAAGGAGGATTAGTACTACTTAATTTTAATTCACCGACAAAATGCCTTCTACCAAATTCAGCCCACAGGATACAAACATGGTATTGGCCACGCCTTGGCATTACTGGTTTGCAGCATTTATTTCCCTATCCTTTGCTGAAACCTTTTCAACATGGAATCAAACAATAGCAACTCTGGCAAGAATCCTCCTATATACACAATGAAAAAGCATTTCTGAGCTCCTCAAGTGATAACTCAAGTGTCACACTTCTTTTCACAGCAACTGAAGGGTAGAAGTCGGGTTGGCTGGAGCTCACAGAACTTTACAATGGCTTTAGTCTTCAGAACAGCAATGCAATCGGTTGGGCTCTCACTATCTCTGCTGGGATGGGTTTTATCCTGTCTTACAAACTATCTGCCACATTGGAAGAACTTGAACCTGGACCTGAACGAGATGGAAAACTGGACCATGGGGCTCTGGAAAACCTGCGTCACCCAGGAGGAAGTGGGCGAGCAGTGCAAGGACTTTGACTCCTTCCTGGCTTTGCCAGCTGAACTCAGGGTCTCCCGGGTTTTAATGTTTCTGTCCAATGGGCTGGGGCTTCTG